CAGCCTGTCCCTTTTCCCCCCGACGCCCTCATCGGACCCGGAATCCCCCGGCACGCTCGCCAGATCAACACCCTCAACCACGGGGAGGTGGTGTGTGCGGTGACCATCAGCAACCCCACAAGACACGTGTACACAGGCGGGAAGGGCTGTGTCAAGGTCTGGGACATCAGCCACCCTGGCAATAAGAGTCCTGTCTCCCAGCTCGACTGTCTGGTGAGTGAACATGGATGAACAACACTTAGACTTTCATTCAGAAAACAGAAGGGGATGATGAGAGAACTGCAGGTATGAGTAGCACCACACGGTATTGATCCCAGGTGGATAGTTGCTCTTCAGTGGACTGCAGTCTTTCACTTGGAGGTGTGTCTTTTGCTTCCTAGAGGCACGGTGATCTAGTCTTCACGTGTGTCACGTGCACCACACTGACCATTAACTCTGCCTTCCATGGGAAAAGGCAAACCACTTGTTTTCCTCTCTGATGGTTAAGCAGACTAAGCGTCTATACAGTGATATGAGCATGCACCTAAATATCATCCTCTGTCACATGTAAAGAGTAACCTACTACCTCATGTGGCAAATACTAGATAGTCCCTCAGCTGCTCCACTGGCCTTCACCCTTGAGTTACTTAGGAAACATCGGTTTAGTAGAATTTTTGCTATAGCATGAGGCTTAATCAATTGAACATAATATAAGATTCCCATAACCTCATGAGTTGGGAGGAACCTTTTTTTTCTGTTACTTAATACTCCTTGATCAAGTCTTGCCTCTGGCCCAGCTTCATCAAATGCATGATGCCCTTCAGTCATGTAATTCAGGGCCAGGCAAAAGGAACACACTACCAGGGATCTACCCCTAAAACTTTCTTGGCATCAGTAGCAGGACCTTTCAACAGCAAAACTGAGCCTAAGTCTACCAAGGTTCCAAGTTTGCATACCCCAAGACTGTGAGAGCTCCTGCATTAGTGTATGTGTGTATCTGTATATCTGTATTGCAAATGATAGAAGCAGTTGGTTAATTTGGTGGTGGAGGGAGTGGGTCTAGAGCTTTGCATTTTGATGCTAATTAAGATTAAATATCTCAGCACTAAATTTTGTAGATCAAGTTTAAGTACTTCCCTAATTTCATGTAATTTTCTAGCATTAATATACTTTATCATTGTTATAAGTATAAATGGCTCATTAAACCAGGAGGGAACACAATACTTTTATGGATTTCTGCTCTCGTGTTAATGCTGTTTTCCTTTCCTCATGAGTAATCTCTTGATGGTTTTTGTCTCTACAGAACAGGGATAACTACATCCGTTCCTGCAGATTGCTCCCTGATGGTCGCACCCTAATTGTTGGAGGGGAAGCCAGTACTTTGTCCATTTGGGACCTGGCAGCTCCGACCCCACGCATCAAAGCGGAGCTGACGTCCTCGGCCCCCGCCTGCTACGCCCTGGCCATCAGCCCGGATTCCAAGGTCTGCTTCTCATGCTGCAGCGACGGCAACATTGCTGTGTGGGATCTGCATAACCAGACCTTGGTGAGGTAGGTTAGCAGGATCCGTTACCAGCCTGTGAGGAGGAGCCGATTGTGCCAATGTGCTGTGTATGTAGGTATGGGGGTGTGTGTGTGTGAGAGAGAGAGAAGAGATGAGATACAGTTATCTTACTAAAAATTGTTCAGAATAGGTCCATTTTAAGATATTAAAACAAATTATCACTGTAAAAATCTTGTTTTCTGTACTACTTGAACTTCATAAAATGAGGTTTTTTTTGTTTGACATTATACTAAAGCGTCACCAATTTGTTATAACAAAATAAGGTCAGTTTGACATAATTAATGTACATTAGGTTTCCATGACCTCATGAGCTCATTAGACGCCTGTAATTTGACATCTGTGCTTGCTAACAAATCAGTGTTGTTGATAGAGCCTCATTGAGAAGATTCACAGTGTATGGTACTGTCTTGAGTGCCATACACATCCAACAGGTTCATTCCTTCAGCAGCTATTTAGCAACTCCCATGGGCGTATGCACTGTATTGGGTGCAACTCACTCTGAAATGGTCTAGATGATCTGTTGTCCCACCTTTGAGGTTGGGTAGACATAACTTTACAAATGAGATGGAAGGGATTTGGCGTTAGTAGATGTGAAAAGCTCTGAAACGAGTCTCTAGATTTCAATACCTAAGATATTAGCAAGGAAGCAGAATGATGAGCTAAAGGGTATGAAAAGGTTGTAATCAGACATAACTACAAGTCAGGTGTGTAAAAGAAGAGGGCTTTACTATCTGTTATTTCAAAGGACTGAAACCTATAGATTCCAAAACAAAGTAAATCATCACTTTCGTTGCTTATCAGGCAGGCTCTTATGAGAAGCAGCTTCTAACCCTTTTTTCTCCCAGTGACCTTGGTACGTTTTGCAATGAGTGACTCCGGGGCCAGTCGTTCACACTGAGTGTCTTGCCAGGTGCCTGACTTGAGAGCCTGGCTTTCAGTCTTGCACAGCTGCCCACAGGCACATTGCTGCTCACTGGCAGGACTAGTTCTGTGGCTCCCTGTGCCATCTCCAGTCCTTTCTAAAATGGAAAATTAAATTCTCTCTTTCCTTCATATCATAGTGATAGAGTAGGTCTCAGAATATATCTTTGATTAGTTCATAGATGTGTAGGCGTGTTTTCTTTTGTAAATTTCAGTTAGAGATTTTTTTTCCATTAGTAATATCAATCATGTTTTCATGTAAAAGTAATTTGACAAATTCCTAAGTATTCAAAACCGAGCAGAAAGTACAGGAGATTTGGCATTTTAGTTAAACTTTCATCTCTTTGTATATGTTTTGTTATTACTTTGAATAATTAGAAACCGTAATAAACCAAAATGAAATCTATAAATAAGGCCTGCATTGAAATTAAATCATCAAGGAATTCTAAATTGAGTTGAACTAAAAGCTAACTTTTCAAGCCCTTTCCCTCCATTTTGACATTTTCAGGCAATTCCAGGGACACACAGACGGAGCCAGCTGTATTGACATTTCTAATGATGGCACCAAGCTCTGGACGGGTGGTTTGGACAACACGGTCAGGTCCTGGGACCTGCGCGAGGGGCGGCAGCTGCAGCAGCACGACTTCACCTCCCAGGTATAATCTGTGGCTGAGGCATTTTAAAGGTATGGTTTTATGGAACATATTACCTACTGAAAGAAGAGGCGGTTCACTTAGCATGTGATGATGTCACTTTTGACTCTGGATTAATCACTTTGGGGACTCATTACTTTGAAATTACCCATTTGACTTTGGTTTGACTGTACAACTCAAATTATCTTGATTCTCTTCATAATTTAAGTAGTATCTGCAGAAGAGATAGTACCTCCCAGATAAGAAAAAGCATGTCCACTGTGGCCACTGTCACCATCACCTGTTTTAATTCCAGATCTTTTCTCTGGGCTACTGCCCAACTGGAGAGTGGCTGGCAGTGGGGATGGAGAACAGCAATGTGGAAGTTTTGCATGTCACCAAGCCAGACAAATACCAACTACATCTTCACGAGAGCTGTGTGCTGTCGCTCAAGTTTGCCCACTGTGGTAAGCAAGCACCTTTTGTCCATTCAACAAGAATTGCTTCTTCCCCCTTCCTGTGTTTTTATTTCCCGGTTGGACCTTTGAGTTCATTACCATGCCCCTCTTCAGAATTCTATTACTTCTTGTTACATGCCTGCTTCCCCAACATCATGTAATTTTCTGGCATTAATCCACTTTAACCTTAAGGATTAATGACTCTCATTAAATCCAAAAAGACAGGCTTTATTTTTGACGTGAAAGAAAGTTATTTTTTTACAAATGGGTGAGTTTTCTGTGAGTAATTTGATGTTCTGTAAAGCAGATCTTGGTGTCTGACAAAGTAACACAAACATTGCCTTTTTCAAAACCCTTTACCTGTAGGCAAATGGTTTGTAAGCACTGGAAAGGACAACCTTCTGAATGCCTGGAGAACACCTTATGGGGCCAGTATATTCCAGGTAACGTGGAACTTGTTAACTACCACGTACGTTTGTTTACTCAAACTCTGCACATTCTCTCAGATGAATAATGTGCAGAAGTATCCTGGGAGGGCAGAGCTAGTATTATTCACATTGTACAGAGAAGGAAACTGTGTCCAGGGGGACGTTGTCACAGCACAAGCCATGGAGCTGGGGATAGTCCCCCGTGTTCTGAGCTCAGAGCCAGCACTGAGTGCCCGATTCACTGCCCAGTTTCTTCATCATCAATCTCTTTTTGGAGTAGAGGTTTTATGTGTTCTGAGAATTTTGTGAATGTATGGCTTTTTTAATTTTAAAGTCAAACATTTTGCTTAAATATACTCTTGTTAAGTAGTATTAGTTTTTTTATTTTATCTTTTCCAAAGAGGAGTGTTATGAAACAGTTTGATAAAAGATCAGTTTTATAAACTTTTATTCTTCTTGTTGACCCAGTGGAACTTTGTATAGCTTGTGAAATTATTTTTAGAAGGACCAAATTGTAGACATAGTACTCACACATGCACGTGTGCACACACACTCTCTCCTCCTCTCCTACTGGTATGTGAGAATTTCATAGGCAAGTTGAAAGACTTGCCTTTATTAACCTTGTGTATTTAGGATGTTATTTTCTAGTATTCTTTTTTAGAAGTAATATAATAGACTTGCAGTTTTCTTGACCGAGTGATATTAAGTCATCATAAAGTAGATTAATTCCATCAAATCCAAAATAGCATGCAAGATAATCAGTAGGACAAAAAAAGCCCATTGCTACAGTCAAGAAGCTTAAACTTTAATACAGCATTTTTCATATCATGGATTACCAACTGTTAGATAGTGTCAACTGCACTTTAAAAAAAATTTTTTTTTAATTAGAGTACATCTTTTATAGTAGGCATTATTACTGTGTCTTTAAGTAAAGTATTCAGACTCCTGGTTAAAATCTTGTGTTGTTTTCATTTTAAATGAGCACAATTTAGTTAATAGTTAACATTGAATCCTTCATACTATAGTTGAATATGGTATACAAAACTCTATGGTACGTTTTTTTTTTTGTAACTGTTGAACCTCTCCCCTCTTGCAAATTTGTGTTACATTTTTACAGTGGGAACATTAGGTTTTTTTACTAGGAATATTTTTACATTCTTTGTTTTTTTTTTAATGTAGTGTTTTCAGTGCCATTTCGCATATCTGATCTCACTGAACTCTGCTGCATACCTCTGCGGTGGTAGACAGGTAAAATGTCTACCTGTTTTGCTGTTTTAAGGAAGCTGAAATGCCGACCGGTTAAGTGACCTGCACAGTGTTCCACAGCTCAACCTAATGCCAAGCCAAGTGTTTAAAGTTGAGGGTTTTTCATGCCAGTAACATCCCCCACTCTTAACTGTAGAATAGGATTTGAAATAAGGTCTCGCTTTGCCTGCAGAAGTGCTCATACCATTGGCTTGCCTGTTTCTGACTGACCCGGTGAGGTGTTAGCAAGGGTGGATCCAATCCAGCTCTGCCATTTTGAGAAAGTGCCACATGGTGGCTCATGTCTGTAATCTCAGGCATAATTTGGGTGGCCAAGGCAGGAGAATCACTTGAGCCCAGGAGCTCAAGACCAGCCTGGGCAACTAAGTGAGACCCTGTCTCTACAAAAAAAGTTAAAAAAATTAGGTGTGATGGGACACACCAATGTTGTAGTCCCAGCAACTTAGGAGGCTAAGGTGGGAGGATCGCTTGAGCTCAGAAGGTTGAGGCTGCATCCAGTGAGCCATGATCTCACCACTGCATTCTGGCCTGGGCGACTGAGGGAGACCCTATCTCATTTTTAAAAAAAACAGCAGCTCTGTCCGTGACCACCTTTCCTTGACTGGGGCTCCTGTTTGGTCAAGGAGCACATTAAACATTTGCATTTGTTCCAAGTCCTCCATAGTCATGGGGTTTTCTTTCAGTATTTAACATTTCTGATTATATGTTTCTTTCCTAGTCCAAAGAATCCTCATCGGTGCTTAGCTGTGACATCTCTGTGGATGACAAATACATTGTCACTGGCTCTGGGGATAAGAAGGCCACGGTTTATGAAGTTATTTATTAAGGACAAATCTTCATGCAGACTGGACTCCTCCTCCTTGTAGCACTTTGCTCTGTCATCCTTTTTGTTCACCCCCATCCCCGCATCTAAAACCAAGGATTTCAGATACTCATTGCAGTTGTGGAGTTTAATCCCCTTTCTTAACCTCACTTCCCACTTGCTATTGAATTGTGAATAGTCATTGAAAACCTGTGATACCAAATCTTCAGCTATCTACTTGGAAGAACATGGAATAAGCATACTTAACAGTGAACAGAATCTTTAATTATGTATTATATCTGTAATATATTTATTTTGTTTAAAGAAGGCTTTCTAACAATGACTGACTAAATAAAGCTGTCTGCTCCTGCATTGATAATGAAGGTGCGTTGTATTTGATACCCCTCCCCCCCTTTTTTTGGCAAAGAGGGGGAAAGGAAGGTTTAAAATAATTGATTTAAAATGTCACTAAGTGTAGACTAATGACTGTATAGAGATGTGAAATGTATAATTACACATGGAAGCAATATGTTGCTGTGTTGTTACTAGGTTTTTTGTTTTTGTTTTCTACATCTTTTAAAGACCTTTGGAAATTTGGCTGAACGATTAGAACACAACAGGCCAACTCATACTCATTTGGGTCTATTTAGACAACGTTAACCAATATATCTATAGCTTTAGATTATATTCGATCAAAGTTATTGGACTCTTTTTTTGACTTGTTGACAAGTATCTTTATAATATGTTTTTAGTTCCCTTTTTTATTGTATTATAGACAGATGAACAAATTAAATTTGGCCTCAAAGAGAGAACTTAATCCCTTCTGGATATTTTTGCCACGTTTCTTTGCAAAAGGAGATATATATATATATGTATATATGTACATATATATACATATATATATATATATATATATCTTTAGTCAGTTTTGTTATGAGAAATTATGGGTTATTTTGTGGCATGCTCTTTGGGAGCTGCACAGTTATGGGGAGGACTCCCACTGCTGTGCAAGTCAAGTCTTTTACAAAACAAGGACAGCAGAGGAGGGTTTGCAGAGACCTCCCTCTGAAAAACACAAAGAACGGACTCTCTCCTGAGATGAGGACTTGCTTTCTTTACCTCCGGTTCTTTCCATGTCTTAGTTGGATGTCCCTGAAATGGACACAGGCTGTGCCATTGTGCCGGAAACATTGTGTTATCTTTTATGTTGTTGTTGTTGCTGTTAAACTATAATATGTGACTTCTTTTTTTATTATTATTTTTTGTTTGAATGCTTTAAAAATCTTTTAAGTCTGTGGATCTGCTGATGTACAGTGCCTTTGCTGCTATGGATCAAAATCAAAAGAACCGTGTAGATATACTTTATTGTATAAGTAGAAAATTACTTAATTTCATACTAGAAATGGATGGATGCTGCAAGTTGAAATGGACTGTCCATTGACGTTCCTAATGTGGTAGCAGAAAAAAAATGGTGTCTTAAGTGCTTAGTGTTTGATGTCATTAACAGTTTCGTAAAACTCTACAGTGTAGAAAGATTTTGATACTAAACTGTGCATTGTACATAGTTCTAATGCATTGTATTGACCACCAGTACTTCTATAATGGTAGATTGTTTGTGCATTCAGACTTTTAAGCATTAAACATAAATAACTTCTAGTATGCTTATTTTTCTAATTCTTTGTCTTGATGACATTAGTTTATTTTTTATCTTTGGCTGTGCCACTCCTATATATTAAAAATACCTAGTTTTTTTCAAGGGAGACTATTGTTAAAGTAATGTGGGTTTTTTTCATTGTTGCTATTTTTGTTTTGGTTTTTTCTTGAGAGGAGCTAGAAAGGATAGGTGCTGGAAGTTTTGGTGCCAATTGAGTACTTCTCTGATTTGTAAAAATACTGCCTGTCAAAAGGTTATCATGTCCCTCAAACCCTTGACGCTTTAGAGCTATGCTGTTCAATATGGTTACCCTAGCCATTTGCGGCTCTTTTAACTTCATTAAAATTAAAACTAGAAATCCAATTTACGACACAAACTAAATTTCAAGTGTCAAGTAGCCACATGTGGCTCATGGCTATACCATATTGGAATGCGCACATCAACACCACCTTTAAGTTAGGCCGTATAGACCATTGCCAGCCATTTGGGTTTGGGAAGCATTTCCAGCATAACACGCTGATGTCTTTACACCAGGCTTCTTGAGCTGCTACTGGTTGGGTATATGAAAATTCAGTATAAGGAGGAGTTTAAGAATTCTAAAGTCCTGGGACTTAAAAAATCCTATATTCTAAGGTTCTATTAAGTAGGAAGGTTATAAGCCCCACAGTAGTCTGGAGGGGTCATCTGTAAATGATACTGACTCTTCTGTTACTGAGTTAAGTACAGATCAGTATTCATCAATTAGACTGGAAGCCACACTTCCAGTGTGATACTATGTGTGTTGTTAACATCAAACAATGACACAGAAGTCAGTCAAGGCTGGCTGAAAATTTAAAAACCATAGAAAATCGGGGTAAGTGATCATCTTCAAAGGTGTGTCCCTAGGTAAGATGGTGAAGTTTATGTTGGACTGGGAAGGAATAATATTCAATATCTGCTATGTACAGGCACTGTACTGGCTTATGTTACATTCGTATAATGTATATATAATATGTACATTCAATATTAGCCACCTACACATTATCTCAGGTTTTTTACAGCTTGTGTGCCTGTATGGTCCAAAGATTAGAAAGCCTAAGGGAAAAGCGAGTCCGAGGAAGGTACTAATGCATCGAGCATGCGTGTACACACTGGAAGACTGGTGGCATCTGGAGAAAGAGGGAGGTAGTTACCCAGGTAAGGCACAGAGCAGAGCTGGCCATGTGGACTGACAGTGGACCACACATTGTCCTAGTAACATCTGAGCTATGGGTGGCCTTGGAGAGAAGCTGGCAATCCTTCATAGAGTGGCAATCCCAGGGTGTGGACAGCAGCATCACCTGGCCTTCACCGAGAGCTTGGATTCCCCTCCTCACATGGAACACTGCATCCCCTTCCCCACAGCAGGGATTCTGTCAACTTTCTCCTCTAGTGCCCAGCTTAGTACCAGATATATATATAGTAGTAATGTTTGCTGAATTGGGCAGATTAGGAGGGTAGTAAGCATAGAAACGTAAGTTCTTCCTAAACTATTCCTCCACTAATTCATGTGTATCCTTATTAAAAATGTTTAAAAGATGAGAGAGTTTTGGAGTAAGATAACTTTGGCACAAAAAGTGTGACATACGGACAGTGTGTTCACACCTCTAGAAGAAGGAAGTGCCTGCTTCAAGGGTTTGGAATTCCTATTGGGTATCTGATGGGTCAAGTCTGTGATGCCTTTAGTTATCTTTAGAGAAATCCAAAACATTGGCTGTTGGATGGAATAAGAAACTGAGACGAATGCATAGATTTAAACTTTTTGAAATAAGTGGGCATCTATTTCCTCTCATTGCTAACATATTATCAGATTAAATGTTTATGCCTATATGTAAATCTCAGGCCTGGCTTGATGTGCACAGAGTCTTGATGTTCTTGATGTCGTAATTATAATGTTTTTTGCTTAAACTTGGTTCTTAGGTTTACCCTAGTTTTTGCTTCAAATGTGGTCTTGCAGAATCTGAAGAACAACAAAGATAGAAATCACCCTGCACCAGGGAAAGCCTATTCTCAATGAGAGAAGAGAGCAGAACTCTAAAGACACTCCAGGGAAACCCAGAGTAAAGAAGCCACCATGACCTTCCTAAGACTGGCGGATCAAATGGAGAGTGACAGATTCTAAGACCTTAGAGTATTTATGGATACACACCACACTTTGGGCCACTTTTCAGCAATATGGCTTCATAGACTGAGCTGCACGTGATCCAGCCTTGTCCTAAACAGTGTATGTTGGAACCTTAGCTGCAGCCTCAGAATACCTGCAGGTGGTTGGAATTACACAGCCTTGGGATATCCAGAAACTTGGTTTCAAACCATCACACACAGCCATGAAATTCTGGGTTCCTCCAGCCAAAAGCAGGGGAAATTGATGTTCTTCAGCCAGAGGTAGCATTCTGGATAGAGGTGCTGTGCGCATGCTAGCCTCGTGAACATACCCTCAGCTGTCACCTCATCCACTTCCGGACATGCCTCAATCTGGACAGTTTTGCAGTTGTGCTGTCCTAGAAGCAAAATGTCCAAGTTAAGGTATTTTTCAATTGATATTTTTGAGTTTCATGGAAATTTGTTCTGAGATTTTGTGACTAGCATTGAGTAAGCAGTTATGAAATTATGAAGATGTCAGTACCAAAAAAAATTTTTTTTCTTTGGTATTCTTCAATGCTCATATTCTATCCAAAGTTACCTAGCTGTGCAACTTGCAGAGAGGCATTCAACAAGCTCTAGAGTCCTGCGCCCAACAGTTTCTCACTGGGGCAGCAGCTTGTAACCACCCCCGTTCTTTTGAGCTAACTGCATTTATTTGTCTTTTGGTTCAAACTTCATTCAGAACTAACAATGGAAATTGCTTATTTTTGATGACCCGAGCACATTAGAAAACTTCTCATTTATTAGAGCATTTTAAGAGCAATGCTATCATAAGGTAGAACTCTTACCTTATAAGCTATTTCCATTTTAGTTGAGTTTGAATATCTGGCAGCCGGTGACAGAATCTTGTGGGTCCCATATAGGAATTCACAGGAGAGGCTCTAGTTTACCAGTCTTCAGGGAAAGAAAATTCTCAGCTAAGACTTCAGGTATTTGGCCTGCAGAGAGTTCGCCACAGGGTTGCCTTTAGTCCAGAGGAAAGTGATGAGCACAAGTGTTTTCATGAAAGTTGTCCCATTTGATCTCACTGCAGGCCTTGCCAGGGTGGACACTAGAATCCTGAATTTACACACAAGAGCACCAAAGATCAGAGGAGAAATGTGTTTACCCAAATCCGTATCTCCTGGGGGTACAAGCTTAAGGCTTCTGACTTGTGGTCCAGAATTCTAGACTATGTTCAGCATGGCAGGTTGGAACAGAAATGGAAATGAAGGGTTCAAGACAATTCCACTTCATTGCTCTCTGTTCTTCAGTTTCACACAAATTAACTGGCTTCTGGTTTCAACATCACAGAACCTCTTGAAACTCCTGAAATCAATCACAAATTGTGTTCTTCGTTCCTGTGCTGTGTGCCCCCACTGTGGACTCAATGTGGTACGTACAATGCAGATACCCACTCACATGTGAGTAGATGTCCCCTGGGTGTGACCCTTGGCATCTGACTGCCTTAGGCAGGGAGCCTATTAACTTCACTCTGTGGGGTGATGAGAACATTGGGAAGGTTATTTTGGAAGAAGATTTAAACTCTCATAAATGTCACATTTTATTTGACTTGGGTCTAGCAAAATAAACACATGAAGGTACTTGTGAGTTTTGAGAATTTAGGCAGCAAAATTCTGGGACTCTGTTTAGGTAGGATCTAACGAAACTCAGGTCCTAGTGTTTCTGGATGGCCCTGTATTTCTCCCTAGATCTAAGGAGTAGTTGGCCATTGCCCAGTCTTTACTAGACACCTCCATTGCCTTTTCTAAGAGGAATTGCCATACTTGGTACCCTGGATCTATCTTATGTGGCAGAAAGTATGAGTTGAGCTAGGGAAATTTTTATTCCCAGGACGCTAGGAAGTTGCGAGAGAATGAGTGAGTGGTGGAAACTGAGTCAATGGTGAAATGCAGGCATTGTGATCATGAGGGCTCCAAGAAGGAAGACTCAGACTGAGCTTGTGCCCTTCCTCCTCGAAGGGTCAGCAGTACAGGGGCTGGGAGACATACTAGCAGGATGCACCACAAGGAAGCAGTGAGCCTTCCCATTACTTGAAGAACTTCAGTTGGACACCCTGCCCTAGAAGAATTGAGTTTAAACAAATACCTCTTCACTTAAACACCTGTTATGGTTAACTTTGGGCAATGTACCAAATGCAGAGAAGCTTGTTACCAAGAATAACACATCCCTCTCAGAAGTCAGTCCTTCCCAGATAAGTGAAAACAAGGCTTCGTTTCTGGAGTATTTGAAGAAGTCAACTGAAACCTTATTCTTATATCTCGGCCAGAGATTCATAGCCCCTTTCATGTTTCCTGTGAGTAGGCAATCAGTGTTAATGATACGTGATTTCAGGTTTTATGGCTGAGTCAGGAAATTCAAAGTTATGGTTTCCACGCTGAAGGTAATCCCACCACCACCTGTGCAGCTTTAGGCATCCAGGTTTTAGTGTAGGCAAGAACAGCCCCCTGGGCACAAGAAGGTTGTAAAGGTTACTTTGAGAACAAAGGCCTTGATTTGCAGACACTTGTTCCTGAGTGATGATGGTCTTTAAAACAAAGCATTAAGTGCCCCTAATGAGAAGGTTAGTGGTGACTCAAGCTGACTAAAAGTGAAAGGATTTAACTGCAATCCCCGAGGGGTAGACTTACACATTTTTGAGTCACCTTTGCTTTTACCTCGAGAGGCTCCGGGTGAGGTGACTGGCTTGGGCTTTGCAGACATCCTGCTTTGTATGTGGCATAGACTTTGAGCAGGAGTCTTAGCAACAAGACTTCAGCTCTGCTTTTCCAACTTCAGCACACAGCATTTGCACAGTGTGTGTGTGTGTCTGAATGTGCACTTTTCTTGCCAAAGATTTGTT